TATATATATATATATCAGTATAAAAAAATTTATTCTATTAGACTAACTTTATCTGTTGTAGCGAATAACTTTTTCGTTTAGAAATATCTCAAAAAGTTAATTATGTTATGAAATATAGCTCAAAGTAATAATATATAACAAGGAAAAACAAGATAAGAGATATAGAGAGAAAGAGAGGAAATTTTATTTCTTCTTCAATTGTGTGTTATTTCCATCTATTACAATGCCTTTTTATAGGCATGAAAAATGAAAAAATATGTCATTGAATATGTCATTAAGCATTTGATGGAAAGATCATGGAGGAAGATAGACATCCACCATAATTTCTTATAAAACTCCCCCTTGGATATCCATACATAATATGCCTCGTTAAAACCTTATTAGAAAAAAAATATTCCAGTGAAGGAAAAAGAGTACACATGTTTAGAAATACGCCTTTTGGTTGCCTCATTAAAAACCTTATAAGGAAAACCAAGTGGGACAAAACCTTATAAGGGAAAAAGAGTACACCGCGTATTAACTCCCCCTGATGAGAGCATCAATTCACATCCTTGAGCCTTCACATCCCAATCTTGTACACTAGTTTCTTGAAGGTTGACGTCGGTAGAGATTTGATGAACAAATCAGCCATATTATCACTTGAACGGATCTATTGCACATTGATATCACCATTCTTTTGAAGATCATGCGTAAAAAATAACTTTGGTGAAATGTGTTTTGTCCTATCTCCTTTTATGAATCCTCCCTTCAATTGGGTTATGCATGATGTATTGTCTTCATACAAAATTGTGGGTAGTTTGTCACACTTCAAACCATATTTGTCTCGAATAAGGTGTATTATAGACATCAACCATACACATTCTCGACTTGCTTCATGAATAAAAATTATCTCAGCATGATTAGGTAAGTAGCCACGATTGATTGCTTAGTCGATGGCCAAGATATTACAGTGTCTCCACATGTAAATACATAGCCAGTTTGAGATCGAGCCTTGTGTGGGTCAGATAAATACCCAGCATCGGCATAACCAACAAGATCGGGACTGCAATCATTGCCATAAAATAAGCCCATATCGGTAGTCCCTTTTAGATACCGTAATATGTGTTTAATTTCATTCCAATGTCTCCTTATAGGAGCAGAGCTATATCTTACTAATACATTAACTGAAAAAGATATGTCAGGCCTTGTAGTGTTAGCAAGATACATTAGTGCACCAATTGCACTAAGATATGGTACTTCAGGACCAAAACGTTCTTCATTCTTTTTTTGAGGTCGGAACGGGTCCTTATTCACATCAAGTGATCGAACAATCATCGGAGTACTTAATGGTTATGCTATATCCATGTAAAACCGTTTCAATACCTTTTCTATGTAGGCAGATTGATGAACAAAAGTATCGTTTGCCAAATATTTAATTTGCAAACCAATATATAATTTTGTCATTCTGAGATCTTTCATCTCGAATTCATTCTTTAAATAATCAATTGCCTTTTGGAGTTTTGTAGGAGTTCCAATAAGATTTATGTCATCAACATATACAGCAAGTACAACAAACTCCAATGTTGTTTTCTTTATAAAAACACATGGACAAATGGCATGATTTATATAACCTTCCTTTAATAAATACTCATTAAGGCGGTTATACCACATTCTTCCTAGTTGCTTTAGACCATACAAAGATCTTTGCAATTTGATTGAAAATATTTTTCGGGACTTTGAATTTTGTGCGTCAGGCATTTTAAGTCCCTCGGAAATTTTCATGTATATCTCATTATCAAGTGAGCCGTAAAGGTAGGTTGTAACCACATCCATTAAATGTATGTCAAGCTTTTCGTGGATAGCAAGACTAATGAGATAACAGAACGTTATAGCATCCATAACAGGAGAATACGTCTCTTCATAATTGACACCATGCCTTTGTGAAAATTCTTGTACAACAAGGCGTGCCTTATATCTTTGTACCTTATTTTTCTCATTCATTTTACGTACAAAGACCCATTTATAGACAACAGGTTTAACACCATTAGGTGTTTGGACTACAGGCCCAAAAACTTCACGTTTTGCAAGTGAATCCAACTCAGATTGGATTGCTTCTTGCCATTTTGGCCAATCACGTCTTTGTCGACATTCTCCAATGGATTGAGGTTCAAGATCCTCATTATCTTACATAATGCTAGATGCAACATTGTATGCAAAGACATAATCCACAACTATATTCAATCGATTCAAATCTGTCTCAATATCGATTGGGTTTATTGATAGTTCCTTATTTTCTTGAATCTCAGTGTCATTGATTTCCTCATGAATCTCAGGATCGGTTAAATCATGGATTTATTTAGGAGACTCATTCGTAGTGTCATCTTGATCATTTATTTTTCTTTTTCTAGGATTTCAATCCTTAGAACCCAATGGTCTGTCACATTTTAGGCGTGCTTTTGACTCATTAACTATGACACTAGAAGATTGTCTAGCAAGGACATCAATACTGATTAGAACATTCTCTGCATGGATATGTGATTTCATTATCCTTTTCAGATCCGTAAATGTGCCTGGCATTTGATTTGCTATTTTCTGCAAATGAATAATCTTTTGCACCTCTTTTTCACAAATAGAGGCACGTGGATCAAGAGGAGATAATGATGAATTTTTTTACGAAATTACCCATTTGATTCACCAATTTCTCCCCCTAATTTTGGGAAAAATGCCTCCTCGAATCGACAATCTACAAATCGAGCAGTGAACAAATCTCCCGTTAATATTTCGAGGTAGCGAATAATAGAGGGCGATTTAAACCCAGCATATATTCCTAGCCTTCTTTGGGGATCCATCTTGGTGCGATATGGCTGTGCTAGATGCACATATACTGCGCACCCAAAAATTCTTAAATGGAATATATTAGATTCATGACCCAAAACTAATTGCAACGGGAAATATTTATGATAATTTATCGGTCTAAGATGAACTAGCATTGCAGCATGCAAAATGGCATGACCCCAAATAGAAATGGGCAATCTCGTTTTCATGAGTAACAGTCTTGCTATCAATTGTAAACATTTAATCAAAGACTCTGCAAGGTCATTTTGAGTGTGAACATGAGCTACAAGATGTTCCACTTTTATCCCAATTGATAAGCAATAATCATTAAATGCTTGGAATGAAAACTCAGCATCATTATCAAGTCGAATAGACTTAATTGGATTATCGGGAAACTGTGCTCGTAATCGAATTATTTGTGCCATTAATTTTGCAAACGTCAGGTTGCGAGATGACAATAGGCACACATGAGACCATCTAGAAATGCATTATTTAAACCATAAAATACCTAAACGACCAACTAGGTGGGTGAATAGGTCCACAAATATCCCCTTGTATATGTTCCAAGAATGCAGAGGACTCAATCCCAACCTTTGTTGGTGATGGTCTAATAATTAACTTGCCTTGATAACAAGAAGTGCAAGAAAATTTATTATTTAAAAGAATTTTTAAATTCTTTAATGGACGCCCATTTGAGTTTTCTATAATTCGTCTCATCATAATTGATCCAAGATGTCCCAATTGATCATGCCAAAATACAAAAATATTGGAATCAGTAACCTTTTGGTTTACGATAGAATGTGCCTCAATTGCACTAATGCTTGTCCAATACAGGCCACAAGATAAATATGAAAACTTTTCAATAACCCTTTTCTGGCCAGATACATTCTTGGTAATGATGAGATATTCGAGATTATTCTCATCTATTGTCTCAATATGAAATTTATTTCGACAGATATCTTTAAAACTCAACAAGTTCCTCTTGGACTTGGAGGAGAACATTGCATTCTCTATGATAAGTATTGTTCCATTAGGCAGAGTTATAGTAGCTCTTCCAGAGTCTTTAATTAGATTACTACTATCAGAAATTGTAGTAACATCTGCCTTACACATACTTAAATGAGAGAAATATTTCTTCTCTTTGAATATTGTATGTGTCGTACATGAATCAATTAAGCAAATATTTTTACAATTGAACTTTGATCCAAGTTTGCTCTGAGAGATATCTATATTTGCTTAGTCATCTCAAAGAGCTTCTTGATACGGTAGAGTCTCGTGCTGATAACGTGTTATGAAATATAGCTCAAAGTAACAATATAGAATAAGAAAAAATAAGCTAAGAGATATAGAGAGAAAGAGAGGAGATTTTATTTCTTCTTCAATTGTGTGTTCTTTCCATCTATTACAATGCCTTTATATAGGCATGAAAAATGAAGAAATATTTCATTGAATATGTCATTAAGCATTTGAGAGGAAGATAGATATCCACCATAATTTCTTATAACAAATTATAGGTTTTTCTCTCTGTTGGAATAATGTGGTCATTATGCTCATTACTAAACTTATTGAAAAGATATATCTTTTTTATCAGAGGTTGAATCGATCATCAGAAGAAGAATTAGACCAAAAATTAGAATACATTATAGGAAAATCAAACTTACATCGAAGAGAAGCAAATGAACGACTTTCATAAAAATTCTTGTAGAATTAAGAATGAAGTTCTCATTCTGTACCAAAGTATCCATCTTCCACCCTGGTGGCCCTACAAGAACCAACTCCTTCATTGCATCAAGCTTCCCCTTTCTGTTGGCCCTACAAGAACCAACTCCTTCACTTTATCAAGCTTTCCCTCTCTACAGAAAGCATCAACAATAATTGAAAATGTTTATAGAGATAGATCGTGGGTTTGTAGTTGCCCAAAAATTTTGTAGGTCCGTAAAAACGGTCTAATGATTAATACTTATTGCTTCATCGTGAGTTTCATCTTTATTTTATGATGTTTCATGGTCATGCAATAAGAATTTGTAATTATATCCATATTTTCATGCGTATTAGTACATGCTAATATTGCAGAATATTTTGAACATACTCTGATTGACCTAAAATTTTGTAGGTTCGTAGGAAGCGAACTAATAACTAATACTTATGGTTTTGCCATTACTAACGATATTTTTTTAGTATTTTGGGTTCATTTAATGGCATTTCGGGGTCATGCAACACGAATTTGTTATTAAATCTACTTTTTAATGTGCATTAGTATATGCTAATTTTATAGATTTTTTTACGGACTCTAATTGCCTCAAATTTTGCAAGTTATAGAAAATGGCCTAGTGACTAATACCCATCGCTTTGCCATGACTTTCGGGTTTACTTTTTGATTTTTTGGAGTCATGCAATACGAATTTGTGACTATATCTATTTTTTCGTATATATTAGTACATGCTGATCTTGTATAAAAATTTTGACGGACTCCAATTGGTCTAAGATTTTGTAAATCCATAGAAAATGACATGGTGATCAATATTAATTGCTTCACCATGACTTTCGATTTATTTTATGGCGTTGCATAGTAATGTAATATGAATTTGTGATTATATCCACTCTTACGTGTGTACTAGTACATGCTGATTTTGTAAAAACGATTTACGGACTCCGCTTGGCATTAAATTTAGTAGGTCCATAGGAAACGACCTAGTGACCAATACTCATTGCTTCACCATAACTTTCGAGTTTATTTTTGGGTGCTCTGGGGTCATGCATCGCGAATTTGTGATTATACCCACTTTTTCGTGTGTATTAGTCATATTGATTTTGTAAAAATATTTATTGACGAACTCCGATTAGCTTGAAATTTCATAGGTCCATACAAAATGACCTAGTGACTAATATTTATTACATTCTTTTCGTTCGTAAAAGAAATAATGTTTCCTTACTCGCTCTCTCGATGCAGTTTAAGCTAACGTGCGCCATCCTCGTCAATAGTAGGAAAGAAGGCACGCAGTTGTCCTAAAAAGCAACAGATCAAGGTTGATGACAAAATACCCAAGCTCAAAAACATCGGAAGTACCTTGTCTGCAGTCATGGAGTCAACCTCTAGAACTTCCAAAACGCAGGTAGGAGGTGGAATACTTACCTAGATCCCTTGTGTCGAAGCCTCTGCATTTGTAAGTCAATAGCATAAACGAGCAAATCAGAGCCCTATTCTTATGCAAGTGAACTTGAGAGATAGTATAACACCTCCTCCATCTAGGGGTGTTACTGTTCCATTGGGTAAGGAGCTGGAAGCTGGAAATCAAGCTTCAAAATCGGTTAATGCTACACTAGGTAAGAAGAAGGAAGCTGAGAATCAATCACCAGAACACATTACTGTTCCATTGCCGGAAATTACTAGGGAATCAACTTGGGTTGGGGTCCTTAATGGTAACCGATCAGCTGCTAATAATATGCCTTTGCACTACATTAATCCTAAATTAGTAGAAGGTAATCTTGTGGCCAAATTTGAGGAATCAGATTTAGAAGCTAAAACTTTGAAGTGGAAATGTGCCCTAATCATCTATGTAATGGGGAAAAGCCAGGGTATAACTACAGGCATAGATATATAAACCAGATGTGGAATACAGTCACTATGACATAGCTCTATTCTCATGATTATGGTTACTACATTGTTAGGTTTCAATCCATGGCTGATATGAAGAAAATTATGTGTGGGGGGCCTTATACGGTCAACAATAGGCTCATGATAATGAAACAATGGAGTCCACAGTTTGATTTTGATACTGAATTTTTAATTGAGATTCCTCTGTGGGTTAGATTTCCCAAACTTCCCATGAACTGCTGGGGAGGTAGCTCATTAAGTAGAATAGCAAGCACAATAGGAATTTCACTGTTTGCGGATAAGTACACTGCCAAACAAACTAGAATCTCTTATGTCAGAATTCTCATTAAGGTGAATATTACTAAACCTCTTCCAAGCAAGGTCCCTATTATGGATGACTCAGGTAGGCTTTTTGATCAGACAGTAGAATATGATTGAAAACCTGAATTCTGTGAGAAGTGCTTAAAAATTAGTCATGACTGTACAAAAGCTCACAAGGAGGAGGTTAAACAAGTTTAGCAGCCCAAAAGAAATAGGCCACATCCTGTGAAGTAAGTGTAAAAGAGTACAGGAGTTGTGTTAGCTCCTACACACAAAACTAACCAAGGGCAGACAATGATGCTGAATGAACAAGGGATCACTACTTGTGCTGATGAGAGCAGAGTAGTAGAACCAATACCTACAGAAGGCCATCAACAATCTCTTGATAAAGGGAAGAAAGCAGCTGAAGTAAATGGAATGCCTCTGAACTATGCACAAGCAGTTGTATCACCTGGTAAGTAAAGCCCTAGTCAACAGACAAATGTAGCTATGATGGCTAATTTGTCACTACCATCTGCAGGTGGTACATCCAAACCTGCTTGATGTCTTGGTTGGTTTGGAACATTAGAGGTACCAACAAACATTATAAGAAAAAAGAGTTGCGTACCTATATTAAAGAGAATAATATTAAACTAGTTGGTTTAGTATAAACTAGAGTAAAAAAAGATAAGGCATATGGCATTGCTAATAGGGTAGTGCCAGGATGGCAAGCAAGATTTAACTATGAACATGCTGCTAATGGAAGAGTCTAGGTATTATGAGATCCTTCCTACTATGATATAACAGTGATAGATCAGTCTGCTCAAGCTATGCATTGTGATGTTAGAGGAAGGAAGAACCAAGTGAACTGTCTCATGACAATCATAAATGGGTTTAACACAATTGAGCTGAGAAAGCCTTTGTGGGTGCATCTGCAAAACCTTGCAGCACAGATCACCAATCCTTGGCTCATTTGGGGAGATTTTAACTCAGTGTGATATTTTAACTCAATGTTAAATGTACAAGACAGACTTTATGGGAATCCAGTAACAAGTAATGAGATTCAATACTTCACAGCTTGTATGCAATATTTGAACTAATGTGAATTACCTTGGAAGGGGGAATACTATACATGTTCTAATAAACAACAAGGTGCAGATAAAGTTTTCAGCAGGATTGATAGAGCTATTGGAAATGATGAATGGATGAATATTTTTAGTCATATGGAGGTGGACTACAAAATGCCTTTTTATCTCAGATCATGTTCCCATGATGATCACTTTAAGGACAGTTGAATCCAGTGGCAATATCCCATTTAAGTTCTTTAATGTTTGGGCTGATCATGAGGATTTCTTATCAGCGGTTGAGGGAATTTGGCAGACACGACTATATTCAGACACCATGAAAGATATCTGGTACAAGTTGAAGGCTCTTAGGTCAGAACCAAATCAATTTAATAACACTGAGTTCAGAGGAGTAACAACTAAGATAGAACATCTAAGATACAGGCTGCAGGATACTCAAGAGCAGCTGAACAGGGGCTACTCTGATGCAGTAGCATTAGAAGAGAAAAGGTTACTTGAAGATCTCGAAAGATGGTCACGAGGAAAGCATCCTTTAGCAGAAATTCAGAGCTAAGTGGATAAAACTTGGTGATTTTAACACCAAATATTTCTCAGCTGTCATAAAGGAAAGAAGTCATAGAAAAGTTATTGCAAAACTAAATATTGCCTTTGGAGATAGACTCACTAACCAAAAGCAGATCCAACAAGAAATAATTGCCTTCTATAAATTCCTTATGGGATCAAGATCAGCTCGTTTGCCTACGGTGAACAAATATATATTGAAACTGGGACTTGTCCTCTCACACTCCCAGCATGTGAGCCTTTGTGTTGTAGTCACTGACCAAGAAATATTTGAAGCTCTGTGTGCAATTGGAGATGACAAAGCACCGGGTGTTGATGGCTATAATGCATTATTTTTCAAAAGAACTTGGACACTTATCAGACCAGAAGTGTGTCATGTAGTGAAGGAATTCTTTCATTCACGCAAGCCTTTTAGAGCAATTAATTGCACAGCCATCACTTTGATTCCTAATGTTCCTTATCCTACAAGTATCAAGGAATATAGACCTATAGATTGATGCATTGTTCTGTACAAACTAATTTCCAAAATTCTTACAAATAGGCTGCAAAAAGTTATTGCTTCAATTGTGTCAGACACCCAAGCTGGCTTCATTCCTGGCAGGAAAGTTGCAAATAATGATTTATTGACTAATGGGTTAGTCAAGTCTCACTTAAGGAATAATATTTCTCCAAGATGACTCGTCAAAGTGGACATTCAAAAAGCCTATGATACAGTCAACTGGAGGTACTTATATCAAGTTTTGGAATATTTGGGATTTCTAGTTCAATTTACCAATTAGATCCTAGAGTGTATCAACAATGAATTATGCCATTCTCCTAAATGGGAAGACTACTAAACCATTTGATGCAGCTAGAGAGCTTAGTCAAGGAGATTTTATGTCTTCATTTCTCTTTGCCATAGCAATGGAGTATCTGGGCAGGAAACTAAAGGCACTTAAACATGAGAAAACTTTCGACTATCATCCTATGTGTTCTAGATTGGACCTAACTCATTTGAGCTTTGTTGATGACCTTCTCCTCTTCACAAGAGGATATACTACTTATGTTGTCCTATTTCACCAAAAGTTCAACACCTTTTCAGAAGCTTCTAGGATTAAAGAAAATCTAGCCAAAAGCTCAATATATTATGGAGGAGTTAGCAATGAACTGAAGCACGAGATTCAACAAGCCCTAGCGTACAGTCAAGGAGTATTGCCTTTCAAATATCTGGGCATACCTTTTGATACTAAGAAGCAATCAATATTGTAATGGAAACCTCTCATTGACAAAGTTGTGAGCAGAATTTCTTCATGGACAGCAAAGAAACTGTCTTATGCAGGCAGAATACAGCTAGTCCAAACAGTAATCTTTAACATTCAAGCTTACTGGGCTCAAATCTTCATTATACCTGCTAAAGTCATCAAAGCAATTGAAGTACACTGTACAAGATATATATGGTCTGGGGTGAATACAATAACCAAAAAGTCTTTGGTGGCATGAGATAGGATGTGTTCTCCAAAAGCTGCTGGAGGACTGAATATGATTAACTTGGCCATGTGGAACAAAGCGACTATCACTAATACATGCTGGGAGTTGGCTAACAAGAATGACAAGTTATGAATTAGATGGATCCATAGCTACTATATCAGAGAGTAGGAGTTCATGCATATGGGAGTACCAAAGCAAGCCTGTTGGATGGTTCGAAAGGTGTTTGAGGCAAGGGACAGGTTACACCTTATTAGCAACCTATCACAACGCACAGTTATAAAATAAGTGTACGTGCAACTACTAGGTGTACTTCCAAAAGTTTCATGGAAAGGATTGATGTGTCAAAACCAAGCAACACCAAAAGTCATCTTCACCATGTGGCTCCAGGTGCAAGAAAGAATGTTAACAGCTGATAAGTTAAAGAAATGGGGAATGCCGGTAGATGACACTTGCTGTTTCTGCAATAAAAAACTAGAGACGCGAGATCATTTGTTTGTTGAATGCGAATATGGTAAATGCCTATGGCATAGACTCATGCTCTGGCTGCAAATTCAGTATCCTCCTATAGACTCATGGGAAGCAAATCACCAATGGATAGTTATGAAACTAAGGGCAGATCTCAGATGGCAAGAGTACTTAAGCTAGTCTATGCAGTATATATTCATGCACTGTGGATTGACAGAAATTCACGGATCTTAGAGAAGCAAACTACAGCATGGGAAGTCCTAGCTAGGAGAGTGGCTTGCATGTGCAACTTCAGAGCTAAAGGCTATACGCGAGTGTTGCTCAGCAATGGTAAATATTAGTCATTAACAGGTAGAGACTAGAATGTGTATAGCGAGGCAGAGAATGTAGATTTTTTTTTGATACTTTCTTTTATCTTGTAGAGCAGACTGAGATGGTCTACTCAGTTTAGTACATGCTGATTTTGTAAAAAAAAATTGACAGATTTCGACTGGCTTGAAATTTCGTAGGTCCATAGGAAATGGACGAGTAACTAATACTTATTATTTCGCCATGACTTTCAGGTTCATTTTTTGATGTTTTTGGGCCATGCATCACAGATTTGTGATTATATTTACTTTTTTATGTGTATTAATACATGCTAAGTTTGTAGAATTTTTTTGACGAACTCTAATTGGTTTGAAATTTTGTAGGTACATAGGAAACAGCCGAGTGAGCAGTCCTTATTGCTTCGCAATGACTTTCAGGTTCATTTTATGGCGTTTCAAGATCATTTAATACCAATTTAGAATTGTATCCACTTTTCTGTGTTTAATTGGTACATGTTGATTTTGTTTAATTATTTTTTGCGAAATTCGATTAACTTGAAATTTGCAGGTTCATAGAAAATGACCTACTGACCAACACTCATTATTTTGCTATGACTAATGAATTTTTGAGTATATCCACTTTGTCGTGTATATTAATATATGCGGATTTTGTAGAATTTTTATGACGGACTCTAATTGGCTTGAAATCTTGTAGGTCCATAGGAAACATCCTAGTGACTAATACTTATTGCTTTTACGGTTTATTTTTTATGTTTTGGGGTCATGCATCATGGGTTTTGTGATTATATCTACTTTTTCGTGTATATTAGTATATGCTGACTTTATATAATTTTTTTGACGGACTCTAAGTGGCCTGAAATCTCTTACGTCCATTGGAAACGGCCCAGTGACCAGTACTCATTATTTCGCAATGACTATCAGGTTCATTTTTTGGTATTTTGAAGTCATACAACACGAATTTATAATTATATTCACTTTTTCGGGTGTATTAATACATTTGTTTATTTTGTAAAAAACATTAACTAACTTCGGTTAGCCAGAAAATTCGTAAGTCCATAGAAAATGGCCTAATGACCAATACTTATTGCTTTACTATGACGTTGGGGGTTCATTTTATGGCATTTCGTGTTCATGCAACAAGAGTTTGTGATTATATCCATTTTTCGTGTGTTTCGTACATGCTAATATTGTAAAAATTTTATTGACATACTCTGATTGACCTAAAATTTGATAGGTTCGTAGGATACGGTCTAGTGACTAATACTCATGGCTTTGGCATGACTAACGATACTTTTTGGCATTTTGAGTTCATTTTATGATATTTCAGCGTCATGCAACATGAACCATTGATTAAATCCACTTTTTCGTGTGTATTAATACATACTCCCTCTATTCCAGTTTATGTGAACCTATTTTCTTTTTGGTCCGTTCCATAAAGAATGACCCCTTTCTAAATTTGGTAATAATTTAGCTTAAACTTACAATTGTACCCTTAATGAGAAACTTTTACAATCACACAAATACTTTGGACCTCTTTTTAGCTTGTTTAGGACCACAAATTTCAAAAGACTTCATTTTTTCTTAAACTCCATGCCCAGTCAAATAAGTTCACATAAATTAGAACGAAAGGAGTACTAATTTTGTAAAAAATATTTGACGGACTCTGATTGACCTGAAATTTTATAGGTCATCACATAGGAAACGACCTAGTGACCAATACTCATCGCTTCGCCATGATTTTTAAGTTTATGTTTTGGTGTTTTGGGGTCATGCAATATATATTTTTGGTTATATCTACTTTTTATATGCATTAGTACCTCTTGATTTTGTAGAATTTGTTTAATAGACTCCAATTGGCTTGAAACTTTGTAAGTTCATAAGAAATGGCCTAGTGACCAATACTTACCACTTCGCCACGACTTTTGGGTTCAAAAATGACCTAATAAATAATAGTCATCAATTTGCCATGGCCATTCCTCGTTTTTTTGGCTTTTTAGGTCCATAAAATAGGAATTTAGGACGATTCCCAGATATTCATGTACTACAGTCCACGCACCTCCTAAAGTTTTACGGGCTCATAAAAAATGGCCTAGCGAAGAATAGTCATCGATTCGTCATGACCGTTCCTCGTTTTTTGGCGTTTTAGAGTCATAAAATAGGAATTCAGGACGATTTCCAGATTTTCGTGTGCTATAGTCCACGCCACCTGCATAAATTCTGGCGTCCAACCCCGAATCTCCTAAAATTTTACGGGCCCATAAAAAATGATCTAATGAAGAATAGTCATTGATTCGCCATGACCGTTTCTCGTTTTTTGGTATTTTATGGCCATAAAATAAGAATTCAGAACGATTCCCAGATTTTCATGTGCTATAGTGCACGTATCTCCTAAAATTTTGGGGGCACATCAATAATGACCAAATGAAGCATAGTCATGGATTTGTCATGATCGTTTCTCATTTTTTGGCTTTTTAGGGCCATAAAATATGATTTCAAGACAATTTTTAAATTTTCTATAATCCACACCATCTACATGAATTTAGGTGACCGATCCTGATTCTCCTAAAAGTTTACTGGCCCATCAAAAATAATATAATGAAGAATAGTCATTGCTTCGCCATGACTATTTCTCATTTTTAGTGTTTTATGGTCATAAAACAGGAATTCAAGACGATTATCAGATTTTTGTATGCTATAGTCCATGCCATATGCATGAATTCGGGCGACGGCCCTGAATCTTCTAAGATTTTATGAGCCCATCAAAAATGACCTAATGAACAACAATCATTGCTTCGCCATGACCGTTACTCATTTTTGGCATTTTAGGTCCATAAAACAGGAATTCAGGACGATTCTTAGATTTTCGTGTGTTATAGTCCACGTCATTTGTATGAATTCAGGAGACCAACCACAAATCTCCTAAAATTTTGCGGGTCAATCAAAACGACCTAATGAACAATAGTCATCGTGTCACGACCCAGAATTTCCGTCGCCAGGATCGTGATGGCGCCTAACATTTCACTTGCTAGGCAAACCAACGTTAGATGTATTTATTAATTATTTTTAACAAACTTCAAATACGATAAAAATAAAAAAATTGAATAGTCTGAAACATGATAATTAAGCTAATAAGTGGTGAAATTCAAATACAACCTCGGATCTGTTGTCACGAATACATGAGCGTCTAAGATACTACAAATAATGGTCTGAAATAAACATAAATGTCTGAATCAAATGAATAGCTAAAAGAAGTAGAAGGGGACTTCAGAGCTGCGGATGTCGTGCAGCTATACCTCAAGTCTCCTCTGGGTAGCTGGATCCGAGTAAGTATACGGTATGCCGCTGGGACCAACTCTGGTATCTACACAAGAAGTGTAGAGTGTAGTATGAGTACAATCAACCCCATGTACTCTGTAAATGCCGAGCCTAACTTCGACGAAATAGTGACGAGGCTAAGGCGGGTCACTTACATTAACATGTACACAATAATAATAATAATAATAATAACAGAAAGATAGGAATAGAAGTAAAGCAGGTAACTCATATCAGCGAAACTCAAATTAACCAGCAGAGAGTCCCGAATAACCAGTCATATAACTCATCTCAACAACCGAGGCCAATTCAACAATAACAACAAATATAACTTTCATCAACATGTTGCGGCATTCAACCCGATCCCATAATATAAACTTTAAACAAATATGTTGCGGCGTGCAACCCGACCCCTCCATATAATCATCTATCAATATCATAGTCCATCCTTATTCCGCCCTTTTCAATTCATTTCTTTTCAATTTCTGTTGCGGCGTGCAACCCGCTCCCTAAATAATGTCAATTAACAATAGTAACTCAGTAACTAAGATTTACATGAAATCATACATCAAGAGAACAAATGTACGAGCAATGGAGAATAACATGATAATCAAGAGACCCGAACTACTTGGATGTCTCAACTTTATCAATTCAACGGTATCTACTTTTAACAATACGTACAAGTGAAACTACTTCAATGAAGGCAACAATTAAAATAAAACTATAATGCAACAAGGCATAAGACAATTTAGATATATGGGAGAAACAAATCGAGATAAGTAGTAAACAAGTATGGAATCAAGAATGGGATGGACATTTTAATACAAGAAATGCTAAATGGCAAGTAGCAATTATGGCATGGAAGTCAAATAAGCATCTAGCAATTAAGGCATAAAGACAAGACATAATATTAAGCAATGAAGATAGGGAAATCAAGTATTGTAACAGTTAAGTCATGGAAACAAGTAATTAATGAAATACAAAAAAATATGGAAACAAGTAATTTGATGGCGTATATACCCTCGTCACCTCGCATATACGCCGCTACACATGTATTTCACATAGCACATAGCTCAAGGGTTTCTAATTCCCTCAAATAAAGGTTAGACCCAATTTTTACCTCATTCCGCAAACAACTCAAAGTTCAATCATGGCCTTGCCTTTCGAACAAGCCTCCAAACCAATCAAATCTAGCAAATTATTAACCAAACGATTCAAAATAAGCCTTAGAAACTATGCACGAATGAAAGAGGTTAAATTTAGATCATTATTGAAAAAGTCAACAAAAGTCAACCCCGAGCTCGCTTGGTCAAAATCAAAATTCTGACCAAAACCCGAATACCCATTCACCTTCGGGCTCGGTTATGTAATTTGTTTCGAAATCCAACCTCAATTCGAGGTCTAAATCCCAAATTCACAAAAATCCCTAATTCTACCCAAATCCCTAATTTTTACCATGAAAATCATAGATTTGATGTTGAAATCTTATGAAATGTAATAGGTAATTGAAAGGAAATGGATTAAAGTCGCTTATCAATGAATTTAGGAAGAAATCTCTTGGGAAAATCGTCTCTAGGGTGTTTAGGGTTGAGAGTTTGAAGAAATGAGCTAAATCCTGTTTTTCCCTCTTTTACCCACATGCAGTTATCGCAATTGCGATATAAAGTTCGAAATTGCGATGATCGCAAAAACGATCAACCGTTCGCAAATGCGAAGAAGTCACTGAGCTTGTTATCCTCGCAAATGTGAATCAAGGCAGTCCGCAAATGTGAACAATACTTCGCAAATGCGAAGAGGCACCAAGTAGACAGTGGTCGCAATTGCGACCAAATCCTTCACAATTGCGAAGATGTAGAGTCCGCAAATGCGAATAATATCTCGCAAATGCGAACTCTTCCCAACCCATCCCATGCTCGAAAATGCGACACATTGTTCGCAAAAGCGAGGCTCGCATTTGCGAGCTAGACCTTACAAATGCGAGATCTGCAGTCCAGCACCAGAAACAGATTGCACCAGCTATTTTCCTAAGTCTGAAACCACTCTGTAGCCTATTCGAAATTCACCCGAGCCCTCGGGGTTCCAAACCAAACATGCAAACAAGTCCAAAAATATCATACGAACTCGCTCGCGCAATCAAAATACTGAAATAACACTTAGAACTACGAATCGGTCACCAAAACGATTTATATTTTCAATGAAACTTAAGAACATGCAATTTTTCAACCGGACGTCCAAATCATGTCAAATCAACTCCGTTTTGCACCAAATTTAGCAGACAAGTCATAAATACTGAAACAAACCTATACCAAGTTCTGGAACCGTAATTCGAACCCGGTAGTAACAAAGTCAAACTACGGTCAAACTTATGAATTCTTTAAACCTTTAGATTTCTAGATTTCAACAAATTGCGTTAATTCAAGTTAGGGACTTTCGAATTTAATTTCGGGCATACGCCCGAATCTCAAATCACGATACAGACCTACCGGGATCGTCAAAATACTGATCCGGATTTGTTTGCTCAAAACGTTGATCGAAGTCAACTCAAAAAATTTTAAGATACGATTTCATATTTTTCTCAATTTTTAACATAAAAACCTTGTGGAAGAAGACACGGACTGCGCATGCAAATCGAGGAAGGCTAAATGAAGCTAATTAAGGTTTCAAAACACATAAATGATGGCTAAAATTGAAAATGACCTATCAGGTCATCACACAACGCTTCGTCATGACTGTTCCTCATTTTTTGGTATTTTAGGGACAAAAAATAAGAATTCATGATGATTTCAAGATTTTCGATGTTATAGTCAATGCCATCTGTATGAATTCAGGCGACTGGACCCGGATCTGTTGAAATTTTGTGGGCCAATCAAAAATGACCTAATGAATAATAGTGATCGCTTCGCCATGACCGTTCCTCATTTTTTGGCGTTTTAAGGCTATAAAATAAGAATTCAGGACGATTCCCAATTTTTTCGTGTGCTTCAATCCACGTCATTTACATGAATTTAGGAGACCGGTCCCAAATCTCCTAAAATTTTACGTGCCTATAAAAAATGACTTAATGAACAATAGTTATCACTTCTCCTTGGTTGTTCCTCGTTTTTGGTGTTTTAGGGTTATAAAACATGAATTTAGGATAATTCCCAGATTTTTATGTGCCATGGTCCATGCCATTTGCATGAATTCAGGCGACTAGCCCTGAATCTCCTAAAATTTTGCGAGCCCATAAAAAATAACCTAATGAACAATAGGCATCGCCTTCGCCATGACCGTTGCTCATTTTTTGATGTTTTAGGGCCATAAAAAGGAATTCAAGACGATTCTCAAATTTTCGTGTGCTATAGTTCACGACATCTGCATGAATTCGGGCGGCCGAACCCGTATATTTTAAAATTTTGTGGACCCAGTAAAAACGACCTAATGAATACTCCATAGTTATCGCTTCGCCATGATCGCCTCTCATTTTTTGACGTTTTAGGACAATAAAACAGGAATTCAGGACGATTCTCAGATTTTTGTGTGCTATATAGTCCACACCATCTGCATGAATTCGGGCAACGAGCTCAGAATCTCCTAAAATTTTACGTACCCATAGTAAATGACCTAATGGACAGTAATTATTTCTTCGTCATGATCGTTCCTCATTTTTTGGCATTTTAGGACTATGAAACAGAAATTTAGGACGATTCCTAAATTTTCGTATGCTATAGTCCACGACATATGCATGAATTTGGGAGACCAGCCCCGAATCTCCTGATATTTTGCAGGCCCATAAAAATGACATATTGAACAATAGTCATCGCTATTCCATGATCGTTCCTCATTTTTTAGCGTTTTAGGGCCAAACAGGAATTCAGGACTATTCTGAGAGTGTCATCTGCATGAATTCGGGCGACTGCCATCGAATCTCCTAAAATTTTTGGAATCTTGTATATATTTTTTGGGGGGAATTTCATCACCATGTTTACTACATCATGCATGAAATTTCCTTTTCATCTTGCATCTATTGTTGCTGATCACGCTTAAAAATTTGGAAGGATATCTTTGCGTGTGATTCTTGGAGAGAAAGAATCCTTATGTATTTGTGTTTTAAAATTTGTATATGTTTGTCTAATTTTGGTAAGTTTATGATCAATGACTAGAAATTGGTAAGTTAGAACTTATTTAGGATATTTCTGCAACATTATCATATTAATTAGCAGTCGAAAGAGGGATCATCCCACCAACCTGCTCGTACAAAGTAGCATAAAAGTTAAAACTCACAGCAAGTGAGTCAATGGGCTTATTTGGTCTTATCTCAAAAATGGGTCGTCTACTCAAATAGAGCTGGAATGTTTTGGGCGAAGGCTAAGCTTATCCAGTTACAGATTGGACTGGGCCGTCCTAGGAAAAACGAAATAGCAAAAAATGCTAATGTTGAGAGTGGGCCTTAGACCAACTCGGCCATCTCAACTTGATGAAGAATTCTCGGTAATGTATATTATTATTCCCGATGACGAAGGCCTTAGCCGATGACCATTGTTTTGAATCCAATGACCTTTGGTCTGTTATGTTATATTCCCCGCAGATTCGGAATAGGTCATTGCAACTTCCACCAGAAAATTGAGTGAGGTAATCTTTTGCTTCTTTCTTTAAAAGATCATTGCAACTTAAGTAAAGAAAATTAAGCGAGGTCTCTTATTTAATCTTCTTTCTCACTTATCAGAAAAATAATGCCAATTGAAATTTTTTGGCTGCTAATGACTAAGAGCCCGTTTGGACATAAGAATTTTTTTCCCTTTTTTTCAAAAAAAAAATTATTTTTTTTCGAAATCAACGTTTGTTCATAAAATTTTCAATTTTCACTTGAAAATGCGTTTTGAAAATTTTCAAAAATTTGAAAAACTCCAAAAAGTTATTTTTCAAAATTTTCACTCAAATCACTCACAAAACTTTAAAAACAACCCAAAATTATATTCATGTCCAAACACAACTCTAAATTTCAAATACCATTTTCACTTGAAAATTTTTTTCCCCCTATTTTAGATTTTTACTATTCTTATGTTGAGGTGGATGTGTGGGCACACTAGAATAGATAAGATTAGGAATGATGTTATTCGGGAGAAGGTGCACGTGGTAAGCAAGATGAATTTCGAAAGGCTTAGATGGTTCGGACATATTCAAAGGAGAAGCCCAGATGCTCCGGTACGGATGTGTGAGCGACTGGTTGTGGAGGGCACGAGAAAAGGTAGAGGGCGGCCTAAGAAGTATTGGGGAAAGGTGATCAGACAGGATATGGCGAGGCTCCAGATTTCCGAGGATATGACACTTGGTAGGAAGATGTGGAGGTCGAGTATTAGAGTTGTAGGTTAGGATGTAGTTGAGTCTTGACTTACTTCGTACCATTGTGGGACTAGCCACGTAGGGTTTTTGTCTAAGCTAGCTAATGACAATATTGTATTTTACTACTTCGCTTTTTAGTGCATGTCCTATTTACTAGTTATCGTTTTTGCTTTGTATCTTTCTTCTGCATTTCATGGTGTTCCTATTTTTCCTATGATTGTTGTGGTGATACTAATATTGTCTCCTTTTGTCGTTTTGTCTTTTTGTTTTCTTGAGCCGAGGGTCTTTCGGAAATAACATCTCTACTCCTTTGGGGTAGGGGTAAGGTCTGCGTACACACAGGAGCGGCCCAAGAAGATTGGTGGCCTAAAGCCAATTTTTAATTTGGGGCCTTTCAGAAGGAAAAAAAAATTTATCATAACAGCGATGATTCATTCCGATGTTCCTACACATAGAACAACACAATTTAGCGCAATTGTCGCACAATAACTCACTTAAACCAACAAAATATAGGGTGAGTAATGTGCTAAAAGTATAGAATTTTGGTGTAACATTAGTTGTTAATAGTTTCTTTTATAAATAATTTAGTCTCTCCTAAGATATTGTTGATCTTAGCTAATAGAATCAAATTCATATAGATACCTCACTAATGATGTCACTCGTAAAATTTAAATAATGAAAAATTTTATATTCGCGACAAGGGTTTAGGGGGAGTGATTCTCTTTTTGTATTTTTTGCTCAAACGGTTACATCACTACTAAATTAAAAGTTATCTTGAATTTTTATAAAATATTTTATTTCTTATTTTAACATACCCAATATATTTAGACCATGCCTCTAAAGATTGTTGTGAGATGTATTTGATCCAACTTACCTTAATTAAATATATTGGGTTCGAGTCCTGTGGTTAAAAAAAATCCTATTAAAACGTGTTCTCTCTTTTACTAGGTCTTACGCGGTACAAATCTAGATTAGTCGGGGTCTCAATACAAATACGAGTAGAAAAATAAAAGAAAAATTTGGGGCCCTCGAAATTTGGGGGCTTAAAGCCTTTGCTTTAGTGGCTTGACCCTTGGGCCGCCCCTGCATATACACTACCCTCCTCAGACCCCATTAGTGAGATTTTATTATATGTTGTTGTTGTTGTACGGAGGCTTCTTTTAACCATATTGTGAACTGAAATTATTGTACGTTAGACGGGCTTGAATTANATATATATATATAGAGTACTGGTCAATATCTAATACTTATCATATAAATACATCTTTCACGTAATTAAACAAAAGTATTCATTTTAGTTTCAGTCCTACTCGAGAATCAATGCTAAAAATATTTAGAAAGGTTCGTTTACAATTATTAAATTAAGTACACTTATGATATTTTCATAAAAAAATACTGGATTTTGACACCAAAACACGAGGAGCAAC